AGATGCTTGATTGCGCTATAAATAATCTGTATTATACATTGTATCTTCAAACAAAAAAATGTAAAATATAATATCCCTTATACCTTTAGTATTGCAGAAGATTAACTGACTGTTTAGTGATTTTTTTCTGGAATTTTAATATAAAATATTGGAAAGCTTTCATCCTGATCAAAGGATCTTAACTTTTTTTGATCACACCCTTCTTTGTTGCTTATAAGAAATATCCTTTTTTTTCTCTTACCTCAATTATCTCAACCAAATCAGATTTTTCAAAGACTCAGACAAATAAGAGAAACTCTTATCTTTTTTTAGCAATTATTGAGAGAACTATTTCTTGTATTAAGTCAACCACAGTTTCCCTATCTATACATTCGTCCAGATATTCAGTCAGGACCCCACCTACTACTAAGATATGTTACCGATAGAAATTTCACTTTCATATAAAACCTTATCTTAGAATTTGCTTAAATTCTATTGGTTAATTAACTAAAAGGAAAAAAATTATAACAATGTAACATAAAATTTCCTTTTATAGTAGGATCTTCAAAGAGTTTTATATGTAAATCTTACCTTAAGCCACAGGATGACCTATCTTAGTAGTAAGCGGGGTTCTATTCAGTTTCTAAGAACTTTACATCTTTTTCTAATCTTTTTACCTTCTTTTCTAAAATGTTATATTGGAAATGATAATCTTTCAATTGTTTCTTTAGCGCTCTATTTTCACCAGAAAGCGCACTATACACCTCTGTATTTTGCTTATTTAGTTCTAATGACTGGGCTAATTTTTCTGTATATCTGATAACTTTCCACTTGTTGGATACATCAAATGAATGATTTTGATCAGTTACCATTTTTGTGATATATTTTATATGCTAGATCTTGCCTTGAACAAAAAAATAAAATTAATAAATAATATCAGACTGATAAATCAGTCCTCCTGACCCTTTAACCCATATATATAATTAGTTTTGTTCTTTAAAAACTATTTTCATTGAAGAGCTCGCATAGCTGATAACACTTTTTTTGGAATTTTATTAGATCTTCAGATAATGTTTGGATCTTTGGCATAAGTATTAATAATCTTGGGATCCACTCCAGCTTTCACTAATTTTTCACAAAATCGATATATATTAGCACGAGGCATCTGCTATAACTTTTTTTTATCATTATTTTTTGGTCCTAAATTTATATTATGGTGATGAATATCCCACTTATTACTCATCTTGGCACAATATTCTGCCTTTTTCTCTATAGTAAACTTCTCTTTTTTTTTATCTGATACAAGAGCCTCTATCTTCTCTTTACTAAATTTGCATCAGGGTTAAAAGATCTTTAATATATTTATGGGCCTTTCAATTCTTTAGTGATATATCAAGCTCTTTATTATGTTCACTTAATTGTTCTGAAGTGGACTAGTGGATAAGCCATATTTTTCTAAGAACTGTTCTAGAATCGATTTAAAGTTATTTGTTTTAGCTCTCCTTTGAACCTTTGGGATTACTTTTCTGATATCCATAATAATAATAAGTAGATTGATACGATGTCTTAACGGTTAATTTAAAATTTGCAAAAAAATAGGATAAGCGAAAAAAATATCTTCAACCCCTCTTCAAAAATAAATTTTCTCAAAATAGGTGGTTATCAAATAGGCGTATTACTAGTAGCTATATATATTAATAATATCAGATATTTCATCATTTTCTGTGAACTCTGATTTTAGCTCTGAGTTATGTTCATCTTTAGGACTAGAGTCTTCTGATTCTATATTGCTTATAGCGTAATTATCACTTGCATTAAGATGATTTGATTCTTATCTTATTGCAATTCTTGAAAGTAGTTTAAGATGCTGGGGAGTTGGGTTCTTACCACCATGAATTCTGAAAGCATGTTTACTTCCATAATCTCTTAATTTTTTAGATATGATTCTATAAGGTTCTTACTTTAAAAATTCATTAAATGGCCCAGCATTATATACGTATTTCACTTTCAGTAAAGACAAGGTCAAATAACTTTTTAGCCTTAATTGCATTTTAAATCCAGATAAGCAATTCTCTTGCACGTTTTGTATTTTTCTTTATGGAAAGAAATAGTAGAAGCTCAAGATTCTTTTTCTTTTCTCCTCTATTTTTTAAATAGCCTGTACAGTACCAAGAATATTCCTCTTTATACTATGATAGAATGTTCGAAGAGTCTGGTTTATAGTAATTGATCTGAAAAGATCTTACTTCTGCAGGTCTCATACTCAATATAACTATCATATTTGCAAGATTCTCTTTAGTAGAAATTTTGGAAATATCCATGTTCTGAACCCTTTTACTCATATTTGCTAAGGAGAAATATATAAGAATTCTATCCAGATTAGCTATTCACTTTTTAGTTTGTTCTTTCTAAATTTTATTAGAATTTTGAATAAGTTTCTTATCTTTAGCAAATTCTTCAATATACTGGTCGAAATAGTCCAAATCGGCTAGAAATCAGATGTCCAATTTTAGGCTGAATTTGGTGATAAAGATGGCCGATTTATTAATTTAGGCAAAGTTCCGATTGGCAGGCTGATCGATGCCAATCAGAATATTGAATTGCTTAGTATTTTTAATCCGAATTGTTTAAAAAAATATATTCATAAATTTACCAAATTGCAGTGAATTTATTCTGAATTATGATAAATTTTAATAAATTGCGATAAACTTTATTCTAAATTGCAGTAAATTTTAATCTGAATTGCAGTAAATTTTCTATTCTGAATTGCGGTAAATTTATTCTGAATTGCGGTAAAAATTTAATGAATTGCAGTTAATTTTATTCTAAATTGCGTCTGAATTGCAGTAAATTTTATTCTGAATTACGGTAAATTTGCAGTAAATTTATCTTGAATTGTAATTAATTTTTTTCTGAATTAAGACAAATTTATTTTGAATTATGGAAAATTCTAATACTAATAATTTGGAATATTAATTATATATATATATAGATAGATTTTTGACGAAAAAAAGAAAGTTTTCTACCAAATTAATTCAGATTTGTTCAAATCAGAATCTGAATTATTATGATTATCACCGACCGTTGATTTTGATAGTTTTTCTTCTCCTTCCTTGTTATGGTCTTCATTATTTTTGGTGGTGTTGCCAGTTGCTAGTGTTGTCTCTCTACTAACTTCTTTTACTTCTTCATCATATTCAGTAATGAAACCCTGATCGATATCAGTATCGAATATTAAATCTTGTTATTGTACGATATAAGACCATTCGGGAGCATTTGATGAATGTGGTCAATCATATTTTTGTACCTCATCATCATATCTACATTCGCTAAGGTTGCTTGTCTAAACCTCTTCAAAATCCTACGATTAATTTCATCAAAATTTTACTATAGATTTATTATAGTTTTGGCAGAGTTTTGGCAGTTTTGGCATTTATAATAAGTTTTGGCAGTTTCGCCTTTCTCCAAAGTTTCTCCAGTTTTTTAATATAACTTTAATATAGTTTTGGCAGAATTTCACTTTTCAGCGAAATGCCATCTTGCCTAAACCCTAGGTTTCGGTAAGCAACCTTAACATCCGCGTATTAATTTCATCTTATTTGACAAGTGTACATCAAATACATTTCATAGCAAAATTTTAAGCTGAAGAAACAATAAAATATAAAAATTAAATCCAGCGATTCGTCTGAAAAATCAAGATTCAGAAGTTCTAACCTAGTGTTTGGAATTAAATATATTCGAATATACTTGAGTATTCATTTAAATTTATAAAGTGTATTCGAATAATATTCGAATAAATTAAATTTCCTTTTATAGTAATGATTTACATAATTTTTAGCCTGAATTATGATTTTAACTCAGTTAAATTTAAGGATTTCATGTCCAATTAGAATTTTAACTATACTATATTTGGCTAAATGAATACTCGAATAACCACTATGCTTATTCGAATACTCGAATATACTCGGGTTATTTGAATAACTGTTACATGATTCCAAACACTATTCTAACCTCATCAGATCTCCACAAATAGTCATAAATAGCGATTATGGACTTTGTTGGGTCTTCTTTGTCTGTCTCGCTTATTTCTGGAGAATGAAATAAACGATTGGATAACATCTTTAGTAATCTATGCTTATCATATTTTGTTATCCATTCTAGAGCTCCGAACAGGTTAGCCAAATTCAGGTAACCTGACCTGACCTGACCTGAAATTCAGGTCAGGTATGAGATTTTTAAAAAAAATTCAGGTCAGGTATGAATATTGACCTGACCTGATTGACCTGTTGACCTGAAACTATTGATTCTACTATATAATAAAAGTGAGTTGCAGTATTGCTATTCACTTTTTTATATTGATTTTATATAATAAAAGTGAGTTGCGGTATTGCGATTCACTTTTTTATATAGATT